TTGTTAATATTTAAGGGAAGATGGAAACAATATAAAAATAATATATATATATTTGGATATAACACTTCTCACAATATATTGTCTGCATTTCATATATTGTAATAAGCCAAAAGCCATAGGTAGTTTGGAATTATGTATGAGAAATATGGCTTTTGATGCAGCACCGCAAACTATGGCTAAGCATATGGGATCTCAGCCATTTTGTTCTTTAAAAACATGATCATCTACTACCAGATTTTGAACAAATATGAAATATTTTCTCATAAAACATTCCTAATAGGCCTGTATAATTCAAATAAGTGGCATAGAGATACTTAGAGCCAAGCACATTTTTCTGGATTTAAACTCATTAAAAGAGGTCGGGATGCCTCTTTCATGCTTTGGCTCCTTGGTTTGAAATGGACAGCAGGTGACCTAATAGAAGCCGGCATTTAACGGACTGAAACTAATGTAGTGACATGCTGTTACTTGATATCTTTCACTGAATTCTTGCTACTAAAACTCCTCTTACTAGGAGAAGAATTGGAAAATCCTGTGAATCCTGCTAATTAGGAACTAGAATAGGAACTCTATGTAATACCAATATCCATGCTCCCCTTGATAATTTGTATATGACCAAAATAAAGGAAAATAATGTGCATGAATCTCAGAGTTAATATGTCCCAATTATTGGGTTTTCCTAACCTAATTAAAATTTTGGGTTACTAACCTAGGCACACCTAAGAGGGAGGCCGTTTATTTCAGGAAATCAAATTCCTAGAATTCAAAGAAAGAAGGTTGTAAAACACGTCACACAGAAAATATTCTTAGTAGCTTAGCTATTTCCTTATTTTGACTGATTCTATTCCATCTTGTATATGAGGTGTATAAATATTTTCAAATAAATAAACATCAACATAAATTAAAGGCTTTACAGAAGTTAACTTTTCACAATGTCATCATTTTTAAATGTAAACTTAATTGTTTATAATAATCTTCTCACACGTTTTCTCTTTTCCCGTTATTGCTACCATTTCACACCTCACTGACTTTATAAAATGATATCCAGCCCTACAATTTAAAATGTATTTATATTATTATGCTTTTTTCTAGACTGGACATGTAAAAACAATTAATAACAAAATAATTTATATGGAAGAGCTGACACACCAATAATGTATGAGTAATTCAAAGAACACTTGAGCAGGGACTATGGTTTATGTTAATAAATACATTTTTCTTTCTGGTTGGCAGATTTTTGTATTTTTTCAAAATAAGTTCCACTCTCAGACACAAAAAGCCTTCATCTTTCTGAAATACACTTGCTCTTTCAAATTGCTTTGAGCTGTGTTAGAATTGTTGTTTGTCTCCAGATCAAAGCTTTCTGTAGCCATTGCTTTCTAGGACCTCTGTAAATAACGCTTCCTTCCTTCCTTCGTTAGTAGCTTTTCCATAGTTAGAAGAAAATCCAGTTTAAGCTTAGTATTTGGTCTGTGATAATCAGTTGTGTTTATGAACATTCTACAGGTTTATTTCCTGGTGCCTGTTCTACTCTCGGTGGGCGTCATTTCAGCTTTCCGGATTCCAGCTTTCTTCAATGAAAATAACCTCTTGGCTGTATTCCTGCTTCTTCTTTTATTTGGGTGAGGATTTGGAGGGCTTGATTCAATTCGAATGGAGTCTCCAATTATAATTTTGAACAGAGCATTTTAAATTACTTATTTTGAAAAGTAATTTTAAAAATTCAGTTTTTTAAGTAACTAGTCAAAGGATAAAAGAGGGTAAGTAAAAATAAACCAACTCTAGAATTAAGAGTTGTACATTAAAAAGAAGCCATTCTACCTAATGGTTTCACAGATACTTAATGGTGTATGATTGTGAATGGAGCACAAAAAAATTGAAAGGCTGCATTACAAGACAAAACTTGATAAATTATGGAAGATTATGAGAAAAATTCAACAATCACACTACTAGCTCTTCTTTAAATGCTTTTCATGTCAGAGATAACTATATAGGAAAAATATAATTATATATGCAGATATGATCTATTTACACCCCATAAATAGATTAAAAACACAGCAACAACTACTTCAAAAGGCCAGAAAGTATCATGGTTGATGTACCTGCGCATTGCTGGGAGAATAAAGACTGACCTCAGAGATAATAATGAAAAATGTCAGGATTTGAAATGCTTCTACAGAATCAAGGGGGTAAACTAAGGCACCTATATCCACTGTTGCTCTGAGAGATCACGGAAATGGAACAGATAAAAAGGTTCATGATAAAATGGATGCAAAACTAAAGAAGAATTTAAAAATTCCAAACTATAAAATTGCTTGGCAAAATGTGGCCACATTAGGCTCTGAGAAGTAAAATCCGTTCCCATGTTGATCTGCGTTTTCTTATTATTATTTTCTTTATTTTGTTTTTAATTTTAAGGGTGGGAAGTTATAATTAATATAATTTCTTGCTTTTCTTTATTTCTTTGTATGCGCCTATTCTAGCTATTAACATTCTTTATCTACCTAAATGCATGACAGTGACTCTTCCCAAGCAATGAAAGAGTACCTGGGTGAGCTTCAGGGATTTCAAAATACTCACCAGTAAACAACCAAAAAAGCTAATACAATCCTTGATTGTATAAATAGAGGCATAGAATTAAAATCACGTGAAGTGTTAGTATCACTTTATAAATCCTTAGTAAGACCACACCTGGAATACTGTATCCAGTTTTAGTCACCACGTTAAAAAAAAGGTGTTGAAACTTTGGAAAAAGAGCAACTAAGATTGCAAGAATTGGGTATGGCTAATCGAGAGAAAAGAAGGACTGGGAGTGAGATGGTAGCAGTATTCCAGTATTTGAGCGGCTGCTACAAAGGCAGAACAAGAAACAATGAATGGAAAATAATCAAGGAGAGGAGCAACCTGGAATTGAGGAGAAACCTCCTAACAGTGAGAACAATTAACCTGTGGAACAGCTGGACTTCAGAAGTGGGAGGTGCTTTTAAGAAAAGACTGGACAGCCACCTACCTGAAGCGGTATAATGTCTTTTGCTTGAATGGCGGCTCAGATCATGAGTTTCCCATTGCAAAATTTAGGCCTAAATTGAAGAACGTAGGGAAAAGTTCTAGACCACTCAGGTATGAACTAAATCATATTCCTGATGAATATACAGTAGAGAGGATTTAAGGAATAGATTTAAGGAATTTGATCTGATAGAAAGAGAATCTGAAGAACTGTGGACAGAGGTTCACAACATTGTACAAGAGGTAACAGCTAAAACCATCGCAAAGAAATAGAAATGCAAGTAAGCAAAATGGCTGCCTGAGGGAGCTTTGCAAATAGCTGAGGAAAGAAGGGAAGCGAAAGGAAAAAGGGAGAAAGAGAAAGAGACACCCAATTGAATGCAGAATTCCAGAGAAGAGCTAGAAGAGATAAGAATGCCTTCTTAAATGAGCAGTGCAAAGAAATAGAAGAAAACAATAGAATAGGGAGGACCAGAGATCTCTTGTGTGGATCAAGTTCTTAAAGAGTTGGGACTACAAACCATCTTATTTGTCTCTTGAGAAACCTATATGTGGGTCAAGAAGTAGCAGTGAGAACTGGACATGGAACCACTGATTGGTTCAAAATTGGGAAAGGAGTCCAGCAAGGCTTTATTCTGTCGCCCTGCCTGTTTAATTTATGTGCAAAGCACATCATGAGGAAGCCGGAGCTAGATGAATCAGGGGATTGGCTGGAGCGGGCTACGAGATCCGCATCTTACCGGAGACTGGCAGATCCGGATTTTGTGGCTTTTTTGGGGGGGATTCTTAAAAAAAAACCTTCTCCAGATGAGCTTGAAAACTTCTGAGGTTTCTCCTGGAGGGGACATGTCTATCTGAGTAGGAAGGGATAGGAAGGTACAAATAAAGGAATAAAATAATAAATTATGGTTGTCAGAACTAATGAGGATCCTTGGCAATTAAATTAGCTGCAAGATAAAATTATTTATCTTTTCTGATTACATTAAAATCGATTCCATCAGGAGACAATTTATAAATCTTAAGTTATTGTCAAGATGAATAAAACAGACCCCTTTTATTTCTGTAGCTGTCCAGAGTAGTTCGCAGACAAATTGGACTAGAAGGCAATGAAGTATTTTGCTATTCTGGATTGGTTACTTTATTCTGCTTGTGATTTTTTTTTTTTTAATATATATATTCTGCTTGTGATTTTTAATGATCTGCAGATATTCAACATTTTCGTGGATGTACTTACTGGCTGGATTCTTCAAGGAAACTGGGATGGCCTTTATTGTTTATGTCTGTATCAATTTATTCTTCGGCGTCAACACAATCATCACTCATTCAGTTGTTTTTTTACTTTCACAAGAAAAACCTACTGATAAGGTAATAAGCTTGAAAACATGTAATTGACACCAACTTTTTCATTAATGCTCCAGATTTTATAAAAGAGGGTAGAATACCAATAATATCCAGAGGACAGAAACAACAGTTACTCCTTAGCTGGCTTGATAATGATTTGCACAAAAAGGGTTTTAGATAAATATAGCTTCATATAAGAAATTATGTATTGCAATGTGATATGCAATAAAGATAAACTCTATTTGAGGTAGTATCAAGAAAAATGAAGGAACCAACAGTTCTATCCTGGTCAGATTCCTTCTCAAGTAATGTGTTTTGTTTCAATCATTAAGAAACTTTCAGACTAAATGGAACTGACAGAGATGACCAGGTATAGCCCATATGTGGCTTGCTAATGATTTGCATGAAAAGGATGAATGTAGCATCATGTGTAAATATGAGTAAGCAATGTGCTATAACACAATCTGTTATAAAGGTGTTTTTTTAATGATAAGGTAATTTTAGAACTACCAAAGTACAATGACGAAATAATTTTTATTTCAGGCCCTGCATGATCTTGCTGAAACATTGAGACAGGTTTTTCTGATATTCCCACAATTCTGTTTTGGTTATGGGTTAATGGAATTATCTCAGTATCAGGCCCTGATGGGTTTTTTAAAAGCCTATGGAGTGGATTACCCTGATAAAACATTCGAATTGGACAGGACAGCATCCAAACTGCTTGGGATGTTCGTTCAAGGAACTCTGTTTTTTACAGTCCGCCTCTTGGTTGATGATGGAACAGTTCAGAAAATATGGCATAAAATATTACAGTAAGTAACTATAAATATATGTGGAAATTCCAAAATTGCAAATAAAATGAGGGATTGACAAAAAGTAAGTTGCAAAAAATAAACTTGCTATAATTTATTGCTTTAACAGGCTTTTATAAAAGGCTTTGTTAAATTAAACTGGTTAGGTTTATTATTAAATTAAGATTACGTAGTAATAGGAACTGTCAAGTATTATGTTGGTCTATTTTGCAGGGGCTACAATATCTCTTTTGTGCATCAAATTAATGTGATTAAGAGATTGCTTTATTACAGTGCCAAAATGCCAGAAAGAAGTGACGAAATTAATCTCAACTCTTGATCTACAAAGCAGTTTAAGCGAATAGTTGTTGTGTTTGGTTTAATCTCATTTGGGCTACAGATTAGAATAATCCTCATATCTATTCAGTCTAACCATAGGTCCTATCAAGTTTCAGCAATAGAAGGAAGCATCTATTTCTCTCACTTGAACTCAGATACTATAAATGGTCAAATGATTAGGATGGGAAATTATAGACCTTTGCGTATATGAGCTTAGATCACACCTTCAGCTGAAGTGAAGCAAAATGCAACAATATGTTTGTTTCTTTGCTTGTACCTCACTTTTATTAGTTTTACAAATAACTCAAGGGGGCGAATAAATTCAACACACCTTCCTCCTCCTCCTTATTTTCCTCACAGCAACAATCCAGAGAGGTAGGTAGGGTTGCAAGAAAGTGACTGGCTTAATATCACCCTGCTGGCTTCCGTGGTTAAGGCAGAACTTGAATTCAAGTCTCCTGCTTTCTAGCATGGTGCCTTAATCACCAGACCAAACGGGCTCATAATTTTCAAAAGAGAAGCATGGGTTTCCCACTTAAATCCACAGAAAAATTTTGATTGGACTATGTCTATAATCGCAATAGTCTTTTTGTCCTCTATTTCCATGTGTCCAATTCTCTGGGACTGCCTGGAAAAGTCCCTGTAGTTTTCTTGGCTGGATTTTTTCCCCAGAGGTGGTTTGCCCTTGTTTCCTTCCTAGGGCTGAGAGAAAGTGAGGCAGGGTCACCCACCTGACTTCGTGCCTAGGGTAGGATTGGAGCTTACGATGTCCTGGTTTCTAGCATGATACTTTAACCGCTACAACAAACTGCCTCTCAATTGAGATACTTCCTGGAATTCTTAATGTTAAAATACATACATAATATTTATGGAGTATAAGCTTTCTAACAGATAGGAAGCAGCAGGTGAAGCTAGCTAAATCGTTCTGAATACCTGTTCAATTAGCATAGCTGTCCCCTGGGGCTGTGTGCTCTCTCTTTTGTCTCTCTACCAAACACTGCATCTCGAAGAACCCCTCTGTTAAGGTACTGAAATTTGCAGATGATACAATAATCATAGGTCTCATTCGAGATGGTGATGAATCTGCATAGAGACAGGAGGTTGAGCAACTGGCTCTGTGGCGGAGCCAGAACAATTTGGAGCACACTTAAAACTGTGGAGATGATACTAGATTTTAGGAGGAGCCTCCTATTCTACCACCTCTTACAATATTAGACAACACAGTATCAACATAAAGACCTTCAGGTTTCTATAAGGACTTGAAATGGACACCTAACATTAGAACTGTCATAGGCACAACAAATAATGTTTTTTCTGTGCCGATTCAGATTGCTCAAGGAGCTGCTAATATCGTTCTACAGAAGAATTATTGGATCTGTATGTTGTGCTTTCTATAACTGTCTGGTTTGGTACAGCAACTAAACAAGACAGGTACAGACTTCAACAGATAATTAGGGCTGCATAAAAAGCCATTGCAACCAGCCTGCCTTGCATTGTATACTGAACGAGCCAGAAAGAGGTCTGAGAAAATATCTACAGATCTCTCACATCCTGGACATAAACTGTTTCAACTTCTCCCTTCAGGAGAAGGGCATGCAAAACAACTAGACAAAAAAATAGTTGTTTCCCCCATGTCATCACTCTGCAAAACATAATTCCCACAGCACTTATCCTTATGCCTAAGGATAACTAAGCATGTAGTGGGACTGTATTACTATCATCCTTCTCACCTTTCCTATTATCTACTCCTATTAGTATCTTATGACTATCACTTTGTTGGTTGTATCTTATATTTATGATTGCATCTTATGATGTATGCTTTATCGCTTGGTTGCTTATACGTATACTGAGAGTTTATGCCAACGCCAGAGACAAATTCCCTGTGTGTCCAATCACCTTTGGCCAATCAAGAATATTCTCTTTTCCATTTCTATTTCCATTCTGTATATTGATTGGTAATGAATAATTGGAATTTTAAGAAAAACTTCTGCAGAAAACTTATTATATCGACAAAATATTTCATAAGACAACATTTAAAAATAAGGTGATACTAATAAACTTGATTTTAATTTTTGGTAGGTTCTTATTTAATAAATTGCATGGTAAGTCTCCACTCTACCTTGAAGACATTGTTGGGGAGGAAGACAAGGATGTCAGAGCAGAAAGAGAGCGAGTGACACTCGGCTTGTCCGACTCGGATGTGTTGCAGCTCCAGAATCTTTCCAAAATCTACCATCTTCCCTACCGGAGGATTGTAGCCGTGAGAAATGTCAACATTGGAATCCCAGCAGGAGAGGTAAGTCATTAAACCCAAAGTAACAAGTGGAAATTATGAGAAGTAAACATTCTTATTATGTGTGTAGCTAGGCACAAAGAATTGTGCACAACTTAAGAGGCATCTTCAGGCTGGACATATCAGGCATACACCGCCTGTTCATTTCTCTTTGCCCTCCTTAGGTCCAGCAGTAGCAAATACATACATACATACATACATACATACATACACACACACACACACACACACACACACATACAACCATTTAAATAATATTTTGCACATGTTTCAGGTGAATCAAAATCAGCTGCATGAGACATATATCTTACTCTGTATCAGGGAGGCTGATCCTGCACGGAACTTAATCATTTCAGAGATTAGATGGGAGAACTGCAAAAATGATGAAGTATTCATCTGGATGTTTCTGCTGCCCCCCCCCCCTTTGAAACTGACATTTTACTAGTTATTTAAGTTATGAATGCACATAAGTATGCTGTTTTCGATATCTCTTGGGTTTTCTATTTTGTTTGTTTTAAGCATCTTCTTTTATTAAAATTGCAAATATTATGGATAATATGAAAGAATATTAGTTTTTCAAATCTATTGTAAGGTGAAGAAACTGCAAACGCCTTGAAAACCATGTGATCTTCTTCCTCCTCCAGTGCTTCGGCTTGCTTGGTGTGAACGGAGCTGGGAAAACCACCATTTTTAAAATGCTGACAGGCGACATTGGCCCAACTGACGGAAGGCTCCTGATGCAAGATGAATCTGGGTATGGAGGGCAGATCCATCCTCCACGATGAAAGTGGAGCAACCTAGCTAAGAAAATAAAACCAACATGGAAGAAAATAATTTATGTTACATGAAATCCAAATAGACTCTTCCATTACTTTAGTGATACTTATTTCTGTAATGCATTTTTATCCATAGTATAGAGATGGAGGCCATGTGAAGCTTAATTCAAAGTTTTGTTAAATTATAGCATTTCAGAGTAATTCATTCAACAATATTGTTTTTAATAATTTAACAGGAACTGTAAATCACAGTTGCCTGTCTCCCACCTCAGCTGAATGATTATGTGAGGAATGCTTAGCGGCCACAAGTGACTTCCCTGGTATTCTTAGGCCACTCTTGAGAATGAGGCCTTAAAATGGAAATGCAAAACAGACATCGAAATGTGGCCCCAGTAAAACCCAGTAAGAGGACTGGCATTTTACACACTGGATGTATTAAGTGATTAAAACTGGATGCTTTTTTTTTAAATGACAAAACTCATGCAATAAATTGACTGAAGCTAGCATAAAATCATGCATTGTAAGTCTGTCAATAGAAGATCATCCATAAATGTGACTTTATCCAAATGCAATCTTAGATGTATAGAACACAGATGCAATGAGAAAGCGATAGCAGGGACTATGTTTCTCTTTCTACCATAGATGTTTGCACAAGTGTTTCACATGGCTTTCTGCTATATTAACTTTTAAGTTCTTTTAATCTTTCCAGACTTAACAAATAATTTTTGCAATTCAGATCCTTGAGTGAAATTCATGATGCACACCGTTCACAATTTGGATACTGTCCTCAAGAAGATGCTCTAGATGATTTGTTGACTGTTGAAGAACACATGTATTACTATGCACGGTTACATGGCATCCCGGAGGAAGAAATTAAAGGGGTATGTAAAATTAAGATGAAGTAGAAATGTCAGTTTTCGGGAAAACTACCAAGTAATGCTGGAGTTTTGCTTTCAACATACTGGTAGTTTAAAAGGGACACGGTGGCTCAGTGAGTAAGTCACTGACCTTGTCGATCAGAATGGTCGGCAATTCAGTGGTTCGAATCCCTAGCACCACGTAACGGAGTGAGCTCCCATTATTTGTCCCAGCTTCTGCCTACCTAGCAGTTTGAAAGCATGTAAAAAATGCAAGTAGAAAAATAGGAACCACCTTTGGTGGGAAGGTAACAGCGTTCCGTGCGCCTTCGGCGTTTAGTCATGCCAGCCACAGGACCACGGAGACGTTTTTGGACAGCGCTGGCTCTTCAGATAATCTGAAGATCTGAAAAGCTGTGAAAATCAAATTGTTCTTCAGCAGGAAATAATATACTTAGTGTGACCTATGCTATAGCTCACTTCATCACATAGCCACTCTGTCCATCAGTTTACCAGGCTCCTTCGGATTTCTGGCTGTCCTAGACTAACACTGCTAATCTTCTACTAAACCATAGGAGAAAAGGGAATTGTTCCATTTCATTTGAAATTAATCAAAGACCAATCAATCAAAGTGTTTCTTAAAGTTTTTTTTTCTTTCAGGATCCCCTTCCCACTTTTATAACTATGGAGAAACACAAAAGAGCTTTTGTTTACATGGTTTATACACATTTACACAAATCTTCAGGTTCCTAGAACCCTGCTTTAAGAAATACTGGCTCGAGGTATTATGTTCAGTTCTCGGTATCACATTTCACAAAGGATTTAGAGTTCAAGAGGCATAGGAAGAGATCTGCAAAAATATAGCCTTACAAAACAAAATTGGTAGGAGAGTCTTGTGCACACAACTATAATTTCTTTTCTAACTCCAAAATGCTTGCTACAGATTTATTATCTATGCTTCATTTTAATATGTTTGATTAAAACTGCTGGTAAATTAACATTGAACAGGAAGTTAAAAAATTGTTAATTGTAAAACTGTCAAAATAATATTTCTTCCTAAAATTCAGGTACTAATTATATTGTCATACCATAATGGTTGAAGAATGGTCATTTTTCTGAATCTCTTCCCCCCACAGATTGTATTTCACCTTCTTTATCGACTTGATCTCATGCCTTACCGATGTAGAATTGCCTCTATGTGCAGCTATGGCACCAACAGAAAGTTATCGGCTGCTCTGGCCCTTCTGGGGAAACCATCAGTTTTACTCTTGGTATGAAATACAAACATTATTCTGTGGGGAATTCTTATGATTTTTCTTATTCTCTATCTCATAGTCTTGCAAAGTAATAGTTACAAGTTGAGAGAAAACTATTTTGTTAAAGCCAGAGATTGTGCTCAGCAGGTTAGTAGAGATGGTCAAGAGAGATATGGATCTAGTCCATACATTACGACAATGCCACCTTTTCCTTTTGGTTGCACAAAATGGAATAAAAATTATGTTGCCACACTTGCTTAACAGTTTCACAGAATAAACTATTACACCCTTACTCTCCACCACAATGAAAGGTGTGTATAATCTGTAACAATTTGCTACCCATGATTTTGGAGGCAAATAGATTATGAACCTACTTGTGGTGAGTTATTTTGTTCTGTATGTTTTGGACACAGGCAAGCATTTCATCTATTACCACTGTTACCAAGTTCTTCCCATAACTATCACCTTCACTTCCTCCCTCAGTATTTATATATATATATATATATATATATATATATATATATATATATATATATAT